GAACCCCAGGATGAGCATCAGCAGGACAGCAGATTCAAAGCAAGGGAGATGAAGCAGCAGCAAAGAATATTGTGAACAGAAAGCACACATATGGAGTAAAGAAGAAAGAGGAAAGAGTATAACACAAAGAAGGCAACATGAAGAAGTAAATAGCAGCAAGGGAATGAGGAATTTATTTTTTATTTTTTTAGGGCTGTCAGACATTGGGGCAATACCATTGGCATCACCTTGGGAATGCCTTTGCCAATGGCAATTGAATGGTAGGCAATATTGCCCTTTTTATTGCCTCTCAGGCTCAACGGTTTCAACCCCATTGGCAATGGGTTCCAATCCCGTTTCAAAATGCCCCCTGCCAACGTTTGGGGGCAGGGCGTTGAGTAAAGACCAAGATGACGTTTTCACAACGGTCTTGCCATAATGGCATGAGAACGCCCTCCCAACGCACTTTGCAACGTCAAAATTATTTGCTGGGGATGTCATTTTTACAGATGCCAAAAGTTCAATGAACTGTACAGTGGGATACTATTCAATGCTCCAAATGTTCTTATTAGGTTGAAAAATATTCACTGAATCAAATTCAAAAGGCAAAAACCTTTCTTTTATGGAATTCTGAAGAATATTTCTTCCGTAGAACACCAATTAAAAATTATATAATGTAAGTCTATGGGAAAACAAGACTCAACTTAGGGACAATTCAACTTAGGGACACTCTAGATGCACCAATTATGTCCACATCTGGGTGTCTCACTGTAATATAACTGCGCAGAAGAAAAACGCACAGAATTTGATCTTTCGGGTAATAAAGAACCCCAAAAATAAAATTGCTATTCTTGCGTATAGTGTGTAGCACAGATGACGCAAAATTCTTCAAACGAATGAGCACTCAATCAGCCTGTTTTCATTATGAATTTTAGTAAATTTATTAATTTTCGATTTTCATACATATATATAGCTCCATCAGTTCAGGAAATTTCAACTCTTTGAAAAATATTTTTTCAACTTTTCTAAAAATGGCAGACAAGTGCCTCTGTGAGTCAAAATATTGTCCAGATCCTGCTTGGGCAGATTTTTTTAAAGATCTTAAATTCAAATTGTCCATATGTAGGGGCGTACACATTTCAGGGTCTCAGTGTATACAGTACAATACATCACAATGATTAAATCAAAGCCTATGCATTTCCGAAGGACTAAGTGGAGCCCATGGACGTCCACACTGTTTTTTCGGTGCAGTGCGGTACGGTAGTGTACATGCAGTCCAGAATGAAGAACCGGACAGGACAATCAAAAAGATTCTCAAACCTTCCTTCCTTTCTTCCTTCTTTCTTTTTTTACCTTTTTCTCTCTCTCTCTCTTTCTTCTCTTATTCTCAGTTGAAACTCTGGCCAAGTGAAGAAAAGTGTCCTTTTTTCCATTCGCTAAATGTGTGGGTTGGTGGAAAGTTGCAACTTGTGCTTCAGTTGGGTTGGTGTATGTCAGAGTGACTTCTATAATGAACAGGAGGACATCCATTATATCCATAATATTCGTCATTGGTCGGTGATGCTCGAGTCGAGTTCGAGTCTCATCGCCGACATTCCAAGTAGACCGTGAAGGTGCTCTGGTGCGAACTTGGACTTGATTCCGTCGTATTCTCTCCTTTCCCACCTCATACATGCTCTTTTCTGGATGTAGACTGGGGTATGGTGTGAAGAATTGTCCATCAACCTATGGAGTTTTCTCCATGGATTTAAGCTGGAGTCAATAAGCAACAAGTATGAATAGTGAATACAGTGGACCCTCAGTTAACAACATTTTCAGTTAGTAAACATGTGACATTGAGGAGAAATACCTTGCTTAACATACCAAACTTGGTTGACAAATATTTTCCTTGGGTACCAATCCCAAATTAGAAAATTTAAAATTTGAATTCAAGGGTTAAATGTATGGCACAATCTAGGTACAAATAGTTCACCCATGCAGTGATGAAAAATTCTTACTTGTAGACACTCTCATTTGTGTAATTACGTATTTACTCAAGTATCATGCACCCCAAGTAAGGCACGCACAGGGAATTTTCAGTTGGAAAATTGTCTGAAATCTTATACCCAAGTAAGATGCACACCCCAATTTTTAGTGAATCTAAAACCACAAAATGGTGAAAATAAATTCAAAACATTTTATTTTGGACATAAATTGAAAAAAAGTTGGATGAATATTCAAGTTTTTCAGTGCAAAAAAATTTCTTTCTACATTTGTTTGAAATTTCTCCATTATAATTAACTATAATGCACACATAGCGTCCTAAAATTTCTGTAAAAATTTGTACCCACTTATGACACGCACCCCTTATTTCTTCTGAAATTTGAGAAAAAAAGGTGTGTGTGGTACTCAAGTAAATGTGGTATTGTGTTTTATGATTTCTTCTAGCTACATTTTTCATGTGTGATTTTCTGTGATAGAATTACTGGCTTTTTTGTGCCTGGTTTTTCTAGTTATTTAGTTGCCTTGAATCTTTTTTATATTCAATGTTCAATTGTTGTTTGGGTCCACAGAACAGATTAAATTCCTCCTCAAAAAATTCTATGGGAAAGTCAAACTTATTTAACAAACTTTTGTCAGGAACCAATTGAGTTAATTTACTAGGGGTCTACTGTACTGTACTGTACTTCTTTATACGTATTTAAATACAGCACTGCAAGGAGCAGTATCCTATTGATTCCCCAAAACTCACATGACAAATTCGGAAGTACCTGCAATAGTTTTTATTGTTAAAAAAATCAATTTAGACTATCCCTCATTTAAATTTTGAAGTATTATGGAGCACTTTAAACCTGCTCCACTGAAGTACCATAACCCCCTGAGTAAGACACGCACATGGATTTCAGTGGAGAATTTTGGTTGAATCTTGTGCCAGGGAATGATATTTTACCAAAATTCCCCACTTCAGTCACAATAATCCCTTATCAAAAAACCCATTATGCCAAGAAATATCACGTTTTAATCAATTACCATGTGCACTCACTTTGAGAGTAAAAGAAGAAGGTGCCTGTCATTAGCAGGAATAATATTGAAAGAAATGTTTACTGTACTTGATTCCCAAATGGTATTTTGAAGCAAAATGTCAGTCGGAAATTTTAAAAATTCAAGTGATGGAACATTAGCATTCAATCTGACAAACAAACGAAGTAAATACAGTACTTAAATTTGAATTTATTTCACTTATGAATACAGTTAATTTCATTTCATTATCTCTAAAACTATGGTATTTTACCATGTTTTTACCACGTTTTTATGAACTCACTTTTCTTGTCTGTCTGTCTGTTTGTCCGGATCAAATTTTGAAACTCAAATTTCACTCACTTCCAGACTAGCTAGCAAGCTGAAACTTTCAGGATAGCTTAGAAACTGATGACAATGCAATCTTTTGTGAAAAAATTAATTTTAAGAATATTTTTTAAAAAGAATAAAATAATTTTAGTAGATTTNTGGTTTTTTAGATTAATTTTTTAATCTACTATAATTATTATGAACTCACTTTCTTGTCTGTTTGTTTGTCCGGATCAAATTTTGCAACTCAAATTTTGCTCACTTCCCAACTAGCTAGCAAGCTGAAACTTTCAGGATAGCTCAGAAACTGATGACAATGCAATATTTTGTGAAAAGAATGATTATAAGAATATTTTTTAAAAATAAAAAAATAATTATAGTAGATTAAAAAATTAATCTAAAAAACCACGTTTTTCAAGTAAGACTAAAAAGCACAAAAAAATTTAGTAGATTAAAAAATTAATCTAAAAAACCATGTTTTCAAAAAGCAAAATATAACCTTAAATGTGGTGCGCATGGAGATTGTTGGGAAGAAGTGAAATACAAATGAAATAGATGCGCACCACGTTTAAGGTTATTTTTTGCTTTTTGAAAACGTGGTTTTTTAGATTAATTTTTTAATCTACTAAATTTTTTTTGTACCTAGCCTAGATTTCCAAACAAATTTTCTGCTGAAAAGTTCAGATGTGCAAAACATTACTTGAGGGCCAGAGGGGATTTGAATAAACAATGTACAGTATATCACTATTCTAGCAAAAAATCCATCACGATTTTACTCTTTCAAAATTTTTGCAACTATGCAATGGCCTAAAACTGACTCCATTGTAATCAATCAATTGTTTGTTGTAACATAAGATTTTTTGAATTAATATCGTATATTATATGTATTGTTTGAAGTCTGACATATATACCATGATGCTGGGATTTTTTTGAACATGCAGGTGCAATTTGGTTTGACCAAGGGTCAACAAAATTCACCCTTGGCTGAGTATGCGAAGTCTAGAAAAATCTTGGAAAATGAATTTTTTCTTCTGAATCATGGAATGCGAATCCTATGGCAGAAATGCGGACAAAAATGCCACCCAGAAGTGAATAAATTTTTTCCATAGATGAGAAAAGTTTATAATATTTCTCGGCTTTGGCTCTGCCATTCAGACTGAAATTCCTTCATTTTTCTGCTTTTTGGCATGAGATTCTTCAAAAATAAAATACCCTCTCATCTGTGCCAAAAGGTAAATACTGTATATACTGTATATATTATGATATACGATATATATATATATATATATATATATATATATACAGTATGTGCCTAATATAGATGCAGAATTTATTTATTAATTCATTCATTCATTTTATCATTCGAATGTGTACATTAGGAGACCCCTTGGCTGCAGCCGGGTCATTCCTGCACCCGCGGGCCCTGCCGCCATCAGGTCCACTGCTGCCACTTGGCCCTGGTGCTGGCCCCGCCGCTGGCCTTCTCGACGACGACCCGTTCCACCGACGCTCCGTGATTCGGGACCGGAGCCAGTGCTACTCGGGCAACTGCGAGTTCTTCGCCATGTGCTGGGCCACAGGCGGCCTGCTTTCCGGCGGCTGTGGCGGCTTCTTCTTCTCCTGCTGCGTCCGCCCCGGCACCTACATTGCCGAGCACACCTACAACAGCGAGCCGTCCCGGATTCAGTACGGCCCTGTCATCAATGACCCCAGTGAGTGCAGTATATGCAGTAGAATATGCAGGGACAACTGAGGATGACGTGAATGTACAGTACAGTACTGTATCTTACAATTACAGTACTGTATCTTACAGTACTGTATATAGTACCAGACGCATCTTTTTTTCCTGGAAATTAGAGCAAGAAGAAAAAGGCAAAACATGCAGATATAGATTCTTTGATAGAAAACATATCATACATAGTGGTGTGAGTCATATGATTTAGTCCATAATGGATGTGAAATCGTATTTGGCACTAATCTTATTGCAATATGCTCCACAATGTTATTCCATTTAACCCTTTGGCAGTTCTTGGGGACAACAGTCATCACAGCAGAAGAATGTAATGAAAGCTGTGATCAAAGAAATTGAAAAGCAAAACTAGTATATCAGCCTGGCACAAAGGCTGGGAATTTTCAGCAATATACTAATTTTAGTTCAATTTGGCTTGATTGGAATCATTTGGCACCTTGCACACTTACAGCTCCCTAACCAAAGACACCAAACAAGAAGCATAGACAGCAAAACTTGCCAGCAAGTTTACTAAGAATATATACATTTTCCAAATCAGCTCAAGAGAATGATGCTTTTTGGCAAAGCAAGGGTTTTTTATAAATTTATTTGTGTGGCCTTGATCCAGTGCTGTACTGAAGATAGAGAATCAGGCAATTTTGAAGGCCTCTGATTGGCCAAGAAATCACATTTGAGGATGTTGCTGCACCAAAGGAAGCATGAATATTTGGGAAGGGTACAGTTTCTCTTTGTTTTCAGACTTCACAGTTGGTTGTTTTTTCCACCATATTGATTTCTGACTCAAATAGTAAGATGTACTATAAGTTTCCAACAGCAGTGAATCCATTCTTTATTAAACAATCTGCATTACTTGTCAATTTTTCGTGTATCACTGCTGCTTTCAACCACTTTTATTCAAACCTTTGTTGAATGATAAATTGTCCATGAACCCTCTGCTATGGCAGCCAAGTGGGTCTTTTTCTGAAAAATGTAGTGCCTGTAACAGAAGCTTTGAAAAACATAACAGTGCATCCAGGGCAAGGTCAAGAAAATCCTGGCACATTTTTTTAATGTTGCTGAAAAATTTTGCCAAAAAACTAAAAAATCCAACTCCAAGGCTGAGCTTTTTTTTATCTCACCTCTGGATTACTTCTATTATTTTCATCCCTTCATTTTGGGCATCAGAAGAAAGGCGTCTATCTAGAAGCTACAGAAAATTAATGGAAAAAGTCAAACTGAGGGAAATTTCAACAACACATTTTTGCTGGGCAAAGGCTGATTTTGCCCTAGGCCACCTGGCTTTGCTGTCATATCCGTCACCTGAATTGGCCTACCCAAGAAAATCTGGACTTTGTCCTGCAATGGGAAAGAGCCTGTTGCCCTATAAGTGTTATATACCTCCTTTGACTAGAAGATCATTGTTTACCCTCAAATTCCTCAGTATTTTCCATCAGATAGCTTATTATTATAGTGTTCTGCGTGTTCTTGCAAAAGAAAAATTGCATTTCCAATTTTTTACTTGCTGGATGAAGACCTACAATTCAACCCAAAGCTTTAATTTTACTTGCATTTTTATCCTTGCTCCATCTTTCCAAGCAAAAAAAAAATCACATGTTCCTCAAAATTATGAACTAACGAAATAATACTGTACTTAGTTCATCAGAAATATATCATGGAACAATGCATTGTGCTCTCAATTAGTTTTCTCTTAGAAATTTGCTAAAAACAAATGAATTTTTTAACAGTTCCTGAAAATGAAAAAAGTTACTGGAGGAAGCTCCATGCATGTGAAAGTTGAAAGCATGGGAACAGGGAGTGTGCAACTTCGATTGCACCTGAAACTTGAAACTCTTGGAAGCTTCCAGAAGCAAAGTAAATCACTATGACTTATTCTTGTGTGTTGTGTACATTGACTACAAGCATTGCAGAAATAATTTGTAGCAGTTTATCAAAAGGAAATCATTAAAATACATCATAAAACTTGATGAAATCAGGAACATTTTGAATTTTTGCTAGATATCTATAAAAACAAGGCAATTTTGTTGGGATGGCCTGCGGGCCAGTTTGAAGGCCTCTGCAGGCCAGATCAGGGCTGTGGGCCATATCTTGGGCATCCGTGCCTTACACAGACACACATAAATTCATGCCCCAAGTAAAATTGAATGCAAGTCCATAAAAACCTAGTCTGATGTGTGGAGCTGAAGCAAAAAATTCTGAAACTTAACCTGTTTGCGCAAAAAACTTCAGACAAGAAGTTGTGTCACTGCTGGCTTGCATTTTCTCGGTATTCCCGCCGCAGGATTACTATTGCTGGATTTAGAGAACAATAGCTTCACTTTCCTTGAGTTTCTGGACTTTACTTTGTGGAGGTTGAAGTTTGAAACCTTTGGACAAAAGAACGTGCACCTGTGTGAAAAATATTGCTGGTATCCAATAGTTAGCAGTAAGAATTTTCAAGTGGCAAAGTATTATTTAATTTGAAAAATATATTGTCAGCCAACAAAACCTGGGATGCATTGGGTCTCATGTGGGGATGGGTTTTTGCAAATTTTGTACCAGAACCTGAAGGTGCAAGCCTTAAGTGATGGTGGGTATTCCTTGAGTTGATATACTGTAGTAAACACCAGTGGTGCTAGTCTAGGGCCACATTAAAAAGCAAGGATTCTCTGTGGGCCACAGTGGTAAAAATAATCAACTACTCTAAAATTTTCAGAATTTTAGACTGCTATGAATTTAATGAAGTCAACTGATGCCTTTTTTCAGCAAGCTTGGCAATTTCTCAGAGTAAGGTAATTTATCTTACTTGAGAATTTGTGTTTGGACTTGAAATGCCACCAAAGTTTATTGTGTTCCTTGGGAACCAAAGCTTTTTCATGACAAATAAGGCAAAGCATTTTCCCATTGAAGATACACAGTTTAATGTGAAACATTCAAACCTCCCTAAACCAATACCTCTTTATAAAGATTTTTAAAGTTCTCTCTGAATTCCCACATAAAAACAATGAATTAAAACACCCTTACTTGAAGTGTTTCCTCTCAAACCTCCAAAACTCAAAATTCATGCTGAAGTCTTTCTGTTGATTATTTTATTGACACAGGAAAGAGAAAATCAGCAAAGGTGCCACTTGATGGGTTTTGAAAGGAAAGTGAGGAATACTGTAATGAACCCTTACCTCCAAGTTCAGCCTCTTGTCAACTCATTCAATAATCAATTCAAGAACCGAAATATAGATCACCAATTACAGTAAAATTTCCTGTAATTCTTTTAATTGCTTCCCCAAACAAATTCTCTCTTTTCATAGCTTAAAACCACCTGACTCAAATTTATTTTCTCATGGAATCAATGATTTATAGGGGAAGAGTGGAGCGAGCACGCCTCGGGGACATGATAAACGAAACGTTGTCTTTCACTCCTCATGCTGACGATGATGCACAAAATGCACCCCTGGGGCACCTTGTCTACCATCAGAAACCACACTCACACTTTCTATATACAGTACACAACACTACTCCACTCAGTTACTGATAAATGGGATATCTCATAAGACCTGTGGAACAAGTCATAAACTAAATCTAATTACAAGCCGAATCGATTGGGCAAGTGACTGGAAATGGTCTAAATTACTTCCATTTCCTAGATCCAATCGCATGTGAACGAAAATAATAAGTATATTATGCAGAACTAGTCTGAGGAATAATGAGAATTGATTTGACGTTGATTGGCCTCAAAGGCATGGTGAAATACATCAATATCACGAATCAATGCTGAGAATTGATTTAAGAAACGGATTCTCAAATTTTGGGAAAAAAATTTTCAATTTGATCTGGCAACTTTCTCATTTGTAGTGAGCTTTTTTTTTAAAGAAATGCTCACATCTGTGTAAGCTTCGTCATAAAATACCATTCTTGATTTTTTTTTAAATATTTCAGCTCGTCAATCTACAGGACTTCAACAGCAGGTTTGAAATGCTAGGCTTTCTTCATGTACTTATCGGTTGTTTTTAGCAACTTTTTGATAAGTCTTGAGGCCTCATACATGAACAAAACTCAAATGAATGTGATACACTTCTACTATACGGGTGGACTGCATTTTTTTCATCACAAAATGAAAAATTGGCTGGGATATTATACCAAGTTAAGTAACACATTTAAAAAACACTTTTTCCAATTTAAAATTCAATATGATAGAAAAGCAGACATTTTATAGTCATGAATGATGAAGGCTGAACAAACGCCAGTTGCATTTTTTGTTCGTATTCCTGAATGGCTTTCAAATTTATTGGCGATTAATTTTATCAGAAAAAAATATTGCAGGTTCGGGCAGAGAAAAAATTCAAGAAAAAAACATGCACATTTTCAAATTGCAAAAACCATCCAGACGGGACAGATATGAAAAGAAGTATTTGATTGTGCCTTGGCTTAGTTAGAAAAAGTTAACTATTGAAAAATCCCAACATGTTGCTCAAAAACTTTTCTACACAAGCCACATTGGAAAGTTTTTCAACTCTTCGATTACTTCATATATGTACTGCATATAGGCTTTCTGCAGGACCTAAGAACCCACACTGAACAACTTTTTGCTGTAGTTTTGGGGTGACGAGATTTTATTTTGTATTCACACCTTTCCACTCGAAACTCAGACGAGGGACCAGCGAAGACGTTGGAAATGTTTCATATAGGGATATGTAGAATTACTGGAAAGAAAAATTGGTGATCTTGTGGGCATTGTAAAGCGAAAGACGTGTAAATTGTCAAAAAGCAGAGAGCTTCAGCATAACATGTCCGCAAACATTTTATCGGTCTTTGCGAGTCCACAAAAATAATTGCACATTTGCCTGTCATCAACAGGACCGAAAAGCTTGAGCAATCATAATCTACATTGAATTGTCCCTAGCAAAATTCCGACAGGGGCTCAGACAAAATTTAGATATGCCGGGTAGGTTTTTCACTTGAATTTTTGAGTTCACTTGAATGAATGAATAAAATGTACCTGTATATGAATAATCAAAATTAGGGAACAGGAGTACAGTACAGTATACAGTTCCGCTTCACGCGAAATACGTTTCGCAAAAAACTGCTCTTCACCCGACTCAACCGCAGAAGCAGCATTCCGTCCTGCTAAGGAAATGAGCCCTCTTTATTTCCACTCTGCATTGCATTGAAATGAAGCCTTGCATCATCATTTGTCATGATGATATATAAAGGCGCAAGTGGTGGTGGATGAGTCGAGCCTGGCGACACGACGACCCCGCGGTGGTTGGATGGATGGGTGATGGAGTCGTTAGAGCCGTGGGAAAGAACTTTCTAAGCCGGGTCCCATCAGTGATGATTTCTTCGAATGGACCGTCCACGAAATTTCCGGGTCTTGCGCTGCACGACGATAGAGAGAGAGAAAGCTCCCAAATATGCAGTATAAATTCACTCTTCGATGCTCATAATACAATATTATGAGACAGCCGTTTTGAAGTTTATATTCCCCTTTATACCAGCATACGTATATAATTGTGATGGCTGATCATCAGAATAACGCGTGAAGTTACGAGCGGCGATTGGGAATCAATAACGATGAGGAGCGCATGAGATCGATACACAGTATAATACAGAGAAATATGGCAGACGTTATCGTGAAACCCTCTGAATTCAACCTTGTGCATTATTGACTCCAACGCAAATTCGATCTATATATACGAGAGGTGTTTCAATAACTTACGGAGATTCAACTTTGGAACGATAACTGACTGCATAAATAACCTAACTTTAACCGATACTTTCCTGTGAGATGAATGTCGAAATCTTTCGATCCTGTGTGATGAGGCCTCACCGCATCATCCATGCAATTGATCCGAATCTGACCGCGTTTCCTAATTTGGAGTGAAAGCATTCATGAAATTCTCCAAGTGAAACGGATGTCCAGAGAGAAACTTTCAAAGTAAACCGTACAATTGCAGTTTTCGAAGAAACTTACACAGGAACACATCAGATGAGTTTCAGTTTTCGTTCGGTCCAAGGATTTCCTGAGAGTGAACGGGTTGACACACGCAATGCATTCCCCGACGAAAAAATGGCCATCTCTATTTCCGCTGGTGTCTTCATTGTTCACTCTTTATGTTCCCTGTGTAGGAGGTACATACATACAAACGAGTGCACATGTAACCTTACAACTCAGCCTGTCGCAACTCTGCCATTGTACGGTAATTTTTATCTAGTTTCTTCTCATCCACCTCAGCTGTAATAGTGGGCGTCGTGGCCGAACGAAGAACGGGGAAACAAACGGCCTTGCCTTTCGTTTCGCCCAGTATATTCCAACTTCTACAGGTTCGCGTATCTCTTCCTACGCAACCGAATCTATCACTTGACACGCCGCGTTTTCACTTCACTTCACTTCATGCAACTTGGGTTGCCCGCATGAGACGAACGCGTGTAAGCCAAGTATAGAAGCAGTGCATTATTGGGGACACATGTTCGCATAGGTTCGCGTGGTGTAGAGATAAGTTTCACTTTCCGTTGAGCTTTCTATAATAAGCTTCTTTCAAGATTTTCATCCCTCTGACGAATCTTAAGTTCGGGCGTGTCGGCATTCATTTACCGCTAATACAGTTCGTTTTCACAATAAGTTTTATCCGCGTAAATCATGTTGCTGTGCGATTAAAATAGCCCGCGTCGTCATTGGAACTCAGCAATAATTCAAGGGACTTCGTACCTCACACAGATCCTATACACGGTATGTGCTGCATATATATTTCACAGGATGGATATTATTGAAATTGTTGGTACTGCTGATGGACACGAGTACCTACACATTGTCGTTAAAATTATTCTCACAAATCACAACAGCATATCGATCGAGACGAGCAACCGCGATTAGTCCACGATAATTTGAAAGAAGGACTAAAAAAGCAGGAGAGCACATCTGTAAAAACGGAACCGGAGCTCTCCGCGGATTTTCTGTCGAGTTTTCAAAGAAAAATCCAACAAGCCACTAACGATCGCCAAAATGTATGACCATGCATGCTGTATGCAAGATGCGCAGAAGAGCCGTGGAAATAATACTGCAATCGCTTGGGTGAGAACAAATTGTTCATCGTTGTGAACACTGTTGGGTGTTAGAATGACGAAATGTACGCTGGGAATTGAGTGCTCATTGACTGACTCGCTGAAATAGGATTCTGAAATTGCAGAATGAGGGCAGTTCAGGAATCGCACGAACATCACAACCATGCGTCACGTTCATGCTGGCAGCAGTCCGTATGGTTTCATATGGCACGAGCCAAGGATTAGGAGCGAATTTAGTGAAATGTCCCTCGATAGCACAGTTTTTCCTCCCGGTCGATTACGATCTCTGACGTGCTGTACAGACGTACATAGGGTGTGATTTTTAACAATATCACGGGTCTTGGATTACCAGAACGCGAAATAAATTAGAGCATGAATAAATATATGGCATGACTTACGCGATGAAAAAAAAAGTTCAGGGCTTTCGGGACAAATCGATAGCAAGACTTTCAAAACCCTTGGATTATATTTGTAGCTTCCGAACAAATGAGTTCCTGAGTAGAAAAAAATGCGGCTTACGTCGTCTGATTTGACAGGGTTCAAGTTATTTCCATGCTTATTACTCGGGTCAACATCAGTATATACGCCGTGTATATTGACACATAAAGCCATTATAACTGTAATGACATGTTCCTGCTGGAAACCTAACTGACGTATCCCACCCAAAACTACTGTACAGGATTCATATGTTCGGGGTCACAATCTGACAGACGTTCATTTCCTTCTTGAAAATCCACTGGATAACTGATTTAAGCCACAATTTCACTCAATTGACTACCCGTTAGCATCATCCAACTGTGACGATCTGTATACCCTACTCTGTAGTACATCGGTCGGAAGTACAGTATTCTGCTCCTGACTCGAAACTTTGCTTGTAAAACCACATATGTTCGGAGTAACTTGCACCATCACATGTGATGTAGTTTTCAGAATGCGTAGTTTCACTATTGTAGACAAGTCGAATGAATCAGCAGTTTAGAACCCCCGGCTGAGTAATACATCCGCTTCTGGTTGCCTTTCTTAAGCAACGCGAAGCGCGTTGGAAGAAGTGAACGGTCCTTACAGCTAGTGCAATACAGGAAAGTACGGTACACCGTATATGCGCTTGAGAACTCGGAGTGTGTGTGCTGCTGTGTAATCTGCATCAGTACTCATCTGAAATGATCACGTTTAAAAGAACGTGCTTAATGAGCAGAAGGATATTTCGTTCCGCTCTTGAAGATCCAAACAGTGCGAATCGGAAACTACATTCTTCCCTGGTTTTGGACTCATCTGTATATAGCAATTTCGCGGCGTTCTACAATTTTTACGAGAGACGTGGGCATTCATGGTCTGATTAGCTAGGCAGATGGGAATTGATTGATGCGTTTGTTGTTCGAGACCAAAGCAAGCGCATAAGGACGCGGAAAATTTAACGTGTGGACTCGTAAACCACTTTTCCTCTGAAGACGTGTATATAGAACGCCGTAGTGTAGCCTGTTCGATGACGCGCGTCGGACTCCGACATTATATAAGGCTATCGATGGCAATTCCACCGGCGCAAGTTTGCCGGCAGACGACGAGTTAGGCTGGTGTGATTGAGCCCATCAAAGTCGAGCTCTTAATTGTGCACATTCTTCGGTAGAAAGCATCGTTTTCTCCTTCAAGTGACATGACCGTGTTTTTCTTCTTTTCGTAGCTTGTGGAAGAAGTCAACCGTATGGAGCACAGCGGAGAATCGTGGGTGGAGATAATGCCGGCTTTGGCGTGTTCCCGTGGCAGGTGCGTGTGTAATTATGCTAGTTATTGTCCTTCAGACTAACGTTTCTCAGACATTGAATTAGTGTGACATCTGACGTGTCGTATCCGTCATGGAAATCTTTCGCAGCAAGCATTGCAATTCGCAAGAAAAAATGTCCGTCATAATTGACTTTGAATCAATGTTTATATGGTGTTGTATATAATGACCGACAGAAAGGTTTTTCTGCTCCCACTTCTAGAAAAGCAACCGATTTATGCTCCATATCATTTGTGCAACGAAATTGCTCAAGTAGTTTAATTCGACTTGTGCATGACCACATATCAGAGCAGAGAGTATCTCACGATCAGGTGTACAGTATACTTCCTCAAAAATGTAAGGTATTCTTTGCTTGTCCAGTTTCAGTGCGATGAATAATTGTGGGATTAGTTGAAGTTGTTTGTCCCAAGTGTGGATCTAGTGTTCCGGCTGTGACACTTATCCGTGATTTTCACTCTTCATTGTTGCAGGCGTATATTCGCATTGGGAAGAGCAGATGTGGAGGATCGCTCATCAACCGGAGGCATGTCGTTACAGCCGGGCATTGCGTGAAGCGGTGAGACTGCGTATACCGACATTTACTCTATAGGTTGACTCATCGTGTGATTTTGAACCTGACCTGATGACGATGGAAGGCAGTTACGTTTGGGCTCAAATCTTTTGTGAGAGATATTATTTGTTGGTGTATCAGTATATATTCGTGAGACTCCTATGCTATCCTTGACAGCATTTATGTGCGAGGCATGCAGCAAAGTTTAGATTTTACCCCTTTGAAGAGGTTGTGATCTACTCGAAATTCTGGAAGTGGACATTACATGAAGTCATCCATGATTCTTCCAGAAATTTTGAATTGCTCCTGTTTTGGTGCATCTCATCGGGCTCTCTTTGCTGGCAATTTTTTTTGCGAAAGTGAAAAATCTAGCCCGATACTTGTTTGTTTCGTAATTGAAGTTAATCGAATTTTCCGCACAAAACGTTCGTGAAAACTCGATTTTGTAAACTCAGTTTCTATTTAAAACGGTAAAAGCGAATCGAATTTAATCTGTTCGTGCAAGGGGCATTGTTTTCTACGACAATTGAGGCGGCGTTGAGCAGACCGTGACGTAATGCGAACTCTTTCCGTCATGTTGCAACTTATTATTTCCCAGGACTTGGTATTCGAGGAAGGTAATGGTTCAGATAATTTGAACAGTTGAACATATTTGAGTCAAACTTCAAGGGCCAGCAAAAATTCGAGTTATGGAAATGAGAATTTTCGTTGGGAGGAAGAAAGATGAGCTGAGCAAAATTGTAATAGGTAATACTCTGAGCCTTCTAGTCACAGTAACTCTGAACTTGGAGGCAAGGGTTCACAGGTACAATTCCTCTTTCACGTCTTTTCAAAAAGTTGCTTTTCTCCTTCTTGTGCATTTAAAATGCTGGCCAAGATGCATCTAGAAAATGTGAGCAAAGTCGGGTAATCAATGCATTATTTCTAGCAGAGGCACTTCTAACAAATGTTGACATATGGGGAGGTTTGAGTTGATGAAGTCCAAGTGTACCAATATCTGAATGACAGCAAAAGCATCTTAAAATCTGTTTTGGGAAAATGTTGGACAAAGCTCGTCAAGTTTTTTTAAAACTGGTATTGTAATGTGAAGCATATTCTAACTTTTATTACCACCTGAAAGCAGCATCAGAAAGCGGATGGAGATATATTGGACGCAGATGAGACACTTGACACACGACTTGCTGGTGACGAGATGACGAAACGAAGTGTCTTTGTGTCCTTCATCGATTACTTTCTTCTTTCTTTTATGATGGTTGTTTTTAAATAATTGTGGTGGTGTTTGTGGAAATGATTCATCAGGGCCACGCCAGGCATGGTGCAGGTGACCCTGGGTGACTATGTGCTGGGACAAGAGATTGAACCCCTGGAAGCGCAAAAGTTCGGGGTTGTAGACATCAAGGTGCATCCCAAGTTCAAGTACACGCCACAGGTTAGTTCGCCTCATCTATGTAATAGCGTCATGTGTGGATAGTGTAGCATTTGCCATTGTCTCTGTGGATTAATCTTGATCTTGAGATGATCAATCTTTTTGAACTGTTTATTATCCAAGTGCATGGAGGATTTTGAGGGACCCTTTTTTAAAAATATACGAAGTGGATATACGTTGAAGAAATGCAGTGGGGGCCCCTGATATGTGGGCATCAATAGTACTCTACTTGGACCTTACCCATGTGTCAGAATGTTCACGTGTTGAATCATTTTTTCTCATATACTGTACTTCAATTAGTTCAATATGAACATACTTACTTTATTAAAACTCCCCCAAACAATGTAAGAAACTGCTCAACTTTTAGATGCAGAAAAAAACTATGCAGCAGAAAAGCACACAGCATCTGATTTTTTCTTGTCATTTGAACGAACTCAATGAGTAATGAACAATCACAATTCCTGCTATACTATACACAAATTAAGATGGAAAAATTCAAAGAAGTCACACCATGATTACACCATCGTGAATTATGATACATTTACAATGGAATTATTTTTTAATTTTTGTGAACGCAGGTTGACTCTCTGAACAAAAAACTCAAAGAACCAGAAACAAGTCATTATCGAGAGAACTTTCCTGTAGAGAACCCCAATGACATGCTGGGGGATGAAGAAGCTTATGTGACCAAAACATATTTTATGTATATTACAGAGAAATTCTGAGTACCTCAAGGTTGTTGTGGGGAGAGTGAACCTATCCACGTAAATATCTGAATTTTCCCCAGAAATTTTTAAAATTACGAATTTTCAACTTTTCTAGAAATGTTGGCAGCTGCGTCCATATTTCAAGCCATTCTTAAGATGCTGGTGCAGACTTTTTGAAGTATAAGTGTCCCTAAGTAGAACAGCCCACATGCTATTGGGGTGTCTTTATCTCAGGGTCCCACTGTAATTGAGTCCAGAAATATGTTCTCTGGATTATATAGGAGTATATTCCAAGAGCAGGTCTTCCATCCTGTTTTTCTTCCATTTCTCTTGTTTCTTCAACCAAATCTATGTATGGGTGATTTCATTTGATATGTATATATGTTTGTGCAATATGCAGGCTGATCGTTATGACGTGGCAGTTCTGACTCTGGACAGAGCAGTGGAGTTCGGGCCTCACATGGCACCGGTGTGTTTACCAGAGAAAGGAGAGGACTTTTTGGGGGAACGAGCCTGGGTAGCTGGCTGGGGCGCCATGCAGCCTGGTAAGAGAGAGATATATTTCTGCCTGATATATAGGGTGATGTTGTCCGAATGTTTACCATGATTGACAAAATCCTGTTTTATTTTCGTTCAGGTTCAAGGCTGAGGCCGAGAACGCTGCAAGCAGTCGACGTGCCTGTGATAAACAACAAAGAGTGTGAGGATTGGCACAAGAGCAAGGGGATCACCGTCATCATCTATGACGAAATGACCTGCGCTGGCTGGCGCAATGGTGGCCGTGACGCGTGTCAGGTGCATTGATAAATAAGATATTATTCTAGTAACCCTTTCTTGGCGAATTTGGACTTTTCCTTGCCGATTTTTGGCCGTGTGACGAGGGATGTTGAAAACAGAAAAGCCAAACGGTGTGGTGAAGAGCAAAGTCTGGGAAATCCTTGCAAAAATTCCTTTTGTTTTCTTTCAAAACGTTTTACTTACTGAGGAAAAAATTCTTGTTTGAGGCTGAGTTTTTTTCTCCACTCCTTGTTTGTATTGTTTCCTCAGTCAAGGAGTAGCCGTAGTTCTGAAACGCTAGCATCCAAGTTTAGAAGTCACAAGTGAAAATTTGGAAGTTGGGTTAATGACGAGTTCAACTTCGGCATGTTCCCGATACTCAATTTGTCCACCTTAAAAACACATACAAACTCTGATTCAGTGCAATGATTTGTTCTGGCGCATTTTGTTACATTTGATTGGAGGTTATTGTATGATCAAGAAGAGTAAATTATGGTTTCTGCTGTTTGCCAAATAAGCTTGTAGAATTCTTGGGCCGCTGAGTCTGTTTTATGAGAGAGAAAACCACAAGAAATAATACGAAGCACGAATTAACTGTTCTAATACTGTACCCCAATGTATATTTAATGAGAGAAAATTAACCAAATTGTATGCCAATTGTTTCTATATGGTACAAAAGCAGACCTGCTTCTTATTTAAGTTTTTTCATTAATTTTATGTCAGGTACTGACAAACAGGATTAACTAATGCTTCTAGGAAAGCTCCAAAATGAATGTATTTCTAAAATTTGGAAGAATATGAAAAACTTGATTCATGGGGTATAAAATCAGAAACAAAATGTTCAAAATCTTCCTGAAATTGTATGTCTATATGGGCATGTGCTAACCGTGATAATCCAAGGATATCCTCTGGAAAATGGATTTGTTTTCTTTAATATTGGCCCACTTTTCATCCATGGCAGCACATTTTTTGTGGCATTAAGTGACTCGTCACTGTATTGCGATTTCCCTGAAGAACACAGTGGAGAAAGAATTATTCCTTGGAAATTTAGGGCACTGATTTGAGGATTAATTTTATTGTGATTTGTGTAATACCTGACTGTCTCAGTGCCTGTGAGTTGCATATGAGAAAGAAGTGTGTTCTGAAATAATTTTTGTAGCACCAGATTTTTTTTGGCAGCAGTTATGCTATCAAACATGACCCTTTGTATTGTTTATTTTTTTCATCACTGAGAAGAGTAAATGAACTTGTGAAAACTCCTCAAGTTTCTCCAGAATATTACTCCTGATCTTGACAAGCACTACATGTTTCTTAATGAACCCAAAAATCGAGTGTTTCCATCTTGAGAGTAGAATAATGAGTAATATGTACTTTAGAACTGCACATCTGTCTACTAATAATATTGCTTGCATTGATACAGTATCATAACATTGGTTTGGCTTATTGATTTGCAGGGTGACTCCGGTGGTCCACTGATGGTGCACCGCTACGGGCGGTGGTATCTCATCGGCCTCGTGTCAGCGGGCTACTCGTGTGCCCAGTCGAAGCAGCCGGGCATCTACCACCGGGTTTCCTACACAGCCGATTGGGTATCAGCAGTGGCCAACAAGAACCGCGCCTTTAGTCGCCACCACTTTGACGAGGAGTCGGCCGACGGAGGCGATGCCGATGCTGGCTTCCTGGACGATGATCGAGACGACAAAGACTATGAATACTACAAGTGAAGACGAGGAGGAAGCGTCAAATACCGGGCAGACTATATAGAATTCTCCATTTTTGTTGAGCCTGCATTCTTTCATTATTGTCCTTCCCCCCTTTTTTGTTTTTTTCGTTGTCATCCAGAGTTATTTATTTCTTGGTTGTCGTACTTCGCAATGTTCAGGTGTTTACTTGTGAGACAGGTTTGTCGATGTGTGTTTCGTCTTTCGTTCACCTCTGTGACCTTTTCTCTTTGCGCAGTCGTAAAAGCGAGGGAGTTCGAACAAAGTAATGCGGGGAACTCCCAACGAAGTTTTTTTTTTTTTTTTTTTGCCTGCGTGGTACTTTTTTTTTGGCAAATGCGAGGGATGGGTGATGATACCCTTGTGTTGCGGTGTGCAGGGGGAAATGTGATAAAATAGTGAAAAACACTTTTTTTTTTGCTGCTTCAGGGGTTTGTCCTTCTGAGTATTTGTTATGACCTTAGACTTTTTAGAAATGTACCTCTTTTTTTGGTCTTTAAATGCTGAATTGCAGGGATTGTAATTCTAGATCGTGCTCTTTTTGAGAAAGGTCCTAGTTTTTTTGTTGTTGAGAGAAGTAAGTGATGGGAGATGTTTGTTGGATTCCAAGAAGGAGAAGAAGAGATATCAGTTGCACATTGCCAGCAGTCCCTCTTTTGGATGGCCATTTTCCACTGATGAGTGGATGAAAATGTTGAAATGTTTTTTTCTTTCTAGGAATCCTCAGCTTTCGTTCTATTTTTTGTACTTTTCTAAATTTCGCTCGGTACCCGCGTGAAGTTTACAATCAGCTACTTGAACTTCGTGATGAAAGAGTTCCCTTCAGCTGTGCTCGCCCATTTTCTTTTGTGCTTTTGATTGGATGAGGAAGCTTGGTGTTGAAGTACAGGATTTTCTTATGGTTTGGTTGTTGAAAAAAGTCGAGTTATTATTCATTATTTCGCATACAGTTTACAGTGGGAATCCGAGAGGTGAATGTCATTGTTGCTTGGACATTGTCCCTCTGTCTGAAATTCTGCATATGTCAGACCTTGTTTTTGAATAAGTTTCAACGTGAAAGTTTCATTGTTTCCTATAGATAAATAATTAAGAAAAAATACTTGAAAAATTGACTGATATATTTTTTCTCTGCTTATTTCAAGGTAGAGAAATAAATGTACCAAAGAACAAAAAAGCATCTGATCTTTTTGTATTAGAACTTGATATGAGAAGAACAAGTCTTTCTCAGCACACATGATGGAAACCACTGAGAAACAAGGCAAACATTTAGCCTCTTCTTGACAATGAATTTGAAAATTTTTATGGTGAGTTCATTTTTAGAGTACAGTATCAGTAAATGGAAAGAGTGCAATTTCCTCAGAAAAATGAGGAATTCTGAAAAATTCAACATTTTCTAGGAATCTTGGTCCTGTCCATATCCTAGCTGAGTGGATGTTGGGGAACATTTTTCCATTTCAAGTGTCTGTGAGTTTATTTGTCCTTATGTTGGGGTCGCCCTGTATCTTCGAAGAATGGTGAGGGGCGAGTGAGAGTATTCATTGCTGGTCAAATGGACTCAGCTTTATCTGCTGCATCAGGGTATTTGGTCTGCAAGAAGTGGAGGAAGTGAAATCACACGGAAGCTATACTTCTCATTTTCAATACTTTGTTTATTCGTTCATCCAATTCTGATATTCACTCAACACATTCGTTCCATTGTTCACGGAGAAAAAGATAATCAAGATGGAGCTACATTTGTCTACATCAAACTCTTTTCCATTGCTGGAAAATTATAAGAAATGAAAATTCAGAGAGTGGGAAAGAGCTGGCAGTTGGCCAGGAGGAGTAAAATTTGCCACAATCAGTAGATTGTTGGAGTATGCTTCCAATTCTTGCAGTAAAAGCTGAGTATCTTTTCCAAATTTCATCTATTCCGTCAAAACTGTTTGGGAGAGTAGGGCTTGATTCGATTTATCCTTCACATTCCTTTCCAAACTGTTCAGGAGTGTTTGGCTACCAACAGGTGGAACTGCTCAATTGAATGTGCGGTGCACAGTTCAGCCATATGGTGCAGCACATGCGCACCAAGGAACCACGGCTGCTGGAGCTGGTTTGCGTCTGAAACAATGCGCTAAACCAGTGGAAAATGGAGTTAGGGCTATTTCAGAACATTATGAAATCATGGGAGTTTCAGTCAGCTATTGGAGCAATTGGATTCTATTTGGACCTTGTGTAATGCTTTACAATTGAATATAGTGGGCTTGTCTTGTCTGTCTTACGAAAATTCCCTAGCCCCACTGCCCTGCGCTTGTTTGTTGTTCTTGTGTGATAAACTTAGGTTCTTCCCAGCAAATATTTTACCCATGTTTTAACCTGTGTAGAATCATTGTAACACACGTGACACCAAATTGTGTCAAGAAATGGGTACTGGGGCACTTCAAAACAGGTAATACCTGTACAGCAAGGCATTTTGCAACACGGCTATCTTGTACAGTACAGGTGAATGTAGAAAGCATCCGTGTCTTATTGTCACACCTCTGTTATTAAGTCTATGGGAATTTAATGCATTCAACATAGGTTCCATACTCATATTTTGGTTATGTATGAATAGTAACAAAGTGGCACTGTGAAGTGGTGCATTGTAACTGGTGCAGTGCTCATGAATTGTGAGGAGTGGTGCATGTGCATTAGACAAAGTGGACATCTTCAAAATGTTACTGCACCCAGGGCTGGATTAAACCACATTTTGGCCTGATGCTGGGCAAAAACTGGGCCTAATATTTCTTTGTAGAAAGGATATGTGAATTTTTCATCACACAGTGGAAAATATAATTTGTAGAGAACAAGATATCTGAGGCTAGAATTTAACCAAACATGGCTAAGGTCAAATTCCATCACAATGAATCTCTTAACAAAACATTTTTCTTATAATCAATTTTTCATGGTCCTGGCAGTTTCTCCATGGGCACAATGTTATAGAAATCTCATTTTTATTAAATTATTTTAGACTGTCATCTCATTATGATGAAACTTTGGCCCTGATTTTGTACATGGGCTATATAGCAATTGATTCATTAATGATAGAAGGAATGAAAAAAAATTAAAAGGCATAGTTTCTTGATGGACTAAAGATTTTTGTTCAGAAGGCTAGGTGTTCAAAAAATGCACAACATGGCATACATCTTGGAAATTCTTTGACTACATTTCAAATTGTATGCCTTCCTTTCAAGTAAACAGTATACAGTTCTAGAAGATATGTTCCTCTATTTGAATGAACAGACAGGTATGAGCAAATAAGTTAAACTCAGAATAAGGAAGTACAGAATTTATACTAGTAAAAAGACAGGTTTAATGAAATGCAATATCTATTTCTTTCAGAACTTTTCTCTGCATTTGGTCAAAATGCTTAAAAATAATAACAGTTCTTGATGTAGCTGTTTCACATGCACAGTACTCTAAAACTATGGCCCTTTTTTCAATGAAATTGAGTCTGAAATATGTCAAAACCAATAATCAAAAAAATACAAAATTATATTAACAACAAATGCATGAAAATTTCAGGCATTGGTCAACACAAATGGACCAAATGCATGCCAAATGTAAGGGCAACATGGTTATTTTTAATTGAGAAACCTTTGTTTTAGTCTTGGGTCAAAGAAAGCTTCAATCAAGTGGCCAATCATTGGCCATTAAACCCAGTCAGAAAGAAATATTTGCGCGTTGGTTTGCGCCAATGCATTGCACATGGGAGAAAAGACAATCCATCTGGACAGTCTATCCTGCATGACTAATACGCACCAGTTTCCTCTTTGGCTATTGGGTATGGGGCCTACCACGTCAAAGCTAACGTCTTTGAAACAATTTCTTCAGATACCAGTTGACAAGAAGGGGGTCTTATGAGCATAGTTCTTTGCCTTTTGGCACTCAATACATGATTTAATGTATGCAGTGACGTCCTTTTCCAGGTTTGGCCACGTAAATTCTTCCTTTATCGCAAAAGATGTTTTATTGATTTGTAGTCATATTAACGACCACAACACCCTTCACTTTACGCACGACC